GGTGAAGAAGGGAGCCTGTGTGCAGGTGGCTGCTGCCAAGCTAGGCAGGGGATCCCGTCCTTGGAAGGGGGATTTGGCTCTCCCAGGGGCTCTGCCTCCCAAGGGCTTTTCCTCCTTCCTGCCCTCTCTGTCCCCCTAATCTGTGGGCGCAGGAGAGCGAGCTCGGGGTCCCTGGTGTTCCCTCTCCTGGAGGGGACCGGGGGCATCGACAGCAAAGAAGAGACAAAGGACTCTCCTGTTCAGGCAGCAGCTCGAGCTGGGGGGGGAGCGAGTGTGGGGTTTTGTTTGGGGTTGGAGTGGAAGGGGGAGGCGTGCGCGGCCCGTCTGCGCAGTCCCTGCGGGGGAGGACGTGTATCTGCTCTTCCCAGATGTTGTGCAACCTGCGGAGCTGTTTTCTTCCTCTTTCTCTTCCTCCCTCCTCCTCTGTGAGCTCTCCTGTTTTCATCCTGTTGCTGACAGGGTGGGGATGCACCCGGGGTGAGTCAGCCCGAGGGTCAGCCCTGCCCGAGGAGCTGGGAGGTTTGTTTTTCCCGTGGAGTGGTGGCAGCCAGGTCTGGTGCTTCAAGAGTCAGGTTTTCTCTCTTTGCTGAAATTGAGTCTTTTTCCGTAGCCTCCTTTTCCCCTCAGCACGAGGCTCTTTGAACTCTCACCCACTCAGCATCTCGTGCTCCTGTTTTGTGCCCGAGAGCTTCCAGACTCGGTGCTGTTTGGTGGAAGTCCTTGGGACTCTGTGTGAGAGGAGAGGGAAGGGGCCGAGTCCTCTTCCAGCCTGTGGTACCATCAAGCCCGTGTGTGTACAGCAGAGCTGGGCTGCTTCCCGAGCCCCCTTCGGGAACACTTTGCCTCTGGCTGGTTTTGTTCTGATCCCCTCGGGTACAACAAAGGGGATTATTCTGCAAAGTTCAGCTGTTTGGCCGGAGCCCAGCGCGGAGCTGCGTGTTGCTGTGTGCGTGTGCGCTGCCCTGGGCTGCCCGGAGCTCCGCGCACACACGGCACGTCCAACCCCCGCCACCTCCTCCTCCCTGTTCCCTCTTTCCAACCCTTGTCCTGTGCCTCCCAGCACAGGGTGGGTCCAGCCTGGAGCCTGTGTAGCCTGTGTAGGGAGGGAGCTGCCGCGATCGGAGCCTCCTTGGACTCGCCGTGAGATCAGGTTGTGCCAGGGACAGACCTCAGACCCTGGCAGGGTGGGAGAACAGAGACCTTGGAATCCAGGAGGGCGCTGGGGTTGGTTGGGGCACTGAGGAGGAGGAGGACAGATGTCTCTCTGCCTTCCAGGCTAATCTTTTAACGGGTGTTAGCTGACGACAGGGTTTGGCAGCGTCACCTATTGTCGAGGCTGTAATTCCAGAAGCATCCGGAGCTGTGTTTGCAGTCACCCTCCTGAATGGGGCCCACGGGGCTCGTGGGGCTCGTTCCGTGGGTGGAGAGTGATCTTGGGTGGCTGCTGGACAGAGCTGGGGTAGTCAGCACTGTCACTTCACAGATCCAACATCTAAATTCTTGTGTACACAAACTCAGAGAGAAATAAACGTTCCGGGAGCCGTTGGGTGTTTTAAGTCTTTAAAACAAACATTTTGTTTGTTTGTTTCTGGCTGTGGACTCCTTTGGGAGCAGGGGCTGAATCTCCATCTGGAAGTTTGCTTCCAGAGCCTGGAAACACCTGAGAGCTGGAACAGTTACCACAGGCTGTGCAGTGACGTGGGGAGAAGCTGTCCCCATCCTCATGGGATACCTGGCACCGGCGGGCTGGGGCAGCAGCTCCCTGGGGAGGATGAGGATGCTGCTGTGTGTCTCTGTGCCAGGACTTTGCCTCCCCACGCTGAGGCCAGCAGCAGCCTGTCCTTTTGGCCACCTTAATCCCTCAGTTTTTGTGGCTGTCACACGCAGGAGGAGCCTGTGGTGGGCTGTTTGTCTCTGCTGGTGCTGGAGTCGTGGGCTGCGGTGTGATCTTCATGTGCTTTTATTTTTAGCACCTGAGCTACGCGCCGCGGTCAGTTTGACTTGGTCTCTCTTTTTTTTTCAGTGTTGATGGGCTATTTTTAGAGATTCAGTGTGTTGATTGGAGCACTGAGAGCCTGGTGGCTCCTTCCCCGTGAGCTCTGAAGGGTAAACAGCCTTTCCTGCAGCGCTGCAGCCGTCGCAGCATCCCTGACAGCGGGGCCGGGGATGGTCCCAGACTCGCGGTCGGGATCCAAGTGCCGCTCGGTTTATTCGGGTCTGCAGCTCGAGCTAGTGGCACCCATCTGCCCTCCCGGAGCAGCCTGCCCTGGGTGTCCTCGCCCTGTGCTGGGGGTGCTGGTGTGGGAGGGGGCACTAAGCGTGTGAGGTACGTGCCCAACCAGCACCACGAGCTCGTGCTGTGCTCTGCCTGGGGCCCACTGCCTCCCTCCGTGTCAGAGAGCACCAGGTGAGCACGGGTGGGCCCCAGTGAAGAGGTTCTGGGTCAGGGTGGTGGTGAAGGAGCTGCTGGGTCTCACATCCGCTCACCTTCCTCTGCACCACGGCCGGGCAGCCGCGCTGCCGGTGTCCTGCCTGTGGAGCTGGCAGACCTGGAGGCTCTGTCTCTGCAGGAGCACAGCTGGACTTGGCACAGGTTCTTTTTTCCTGGTGCTGTGGGGAGATCTGTGGTTTCCTTCCCTTCCTTCTCACTAGCTGATGCTCACTTCTCCTCATTGTTTCCTTGCAGGCTCGTCTCCGGTTTCCCATCGACTACCCCTATTCTCCTCCTGCCTTTAGGTTCTTAACCAAAATGTGGCACCCCAACATCTACGAGGTAGGTCACCTGGAACAGCGTGGGGTGGCCTGGACAGGCCGTCTGTTGTGCCTGTGAAAACACCAGCCTTTGTCAGCAGCACGGCACTGGGAACTCGGTGCCTTCGGCGTTTAGTGCCTGGCACTGGAAGTGCAGCTAACGAGCTTGTGACAGCTGGTCTCCAGTGCTGGAGCTGGTTCCAGGTCAGCCAAGCTTGCCAGGCTTGGAGGCTCCCACGCTTGGCTAGCAGGGACGTTGTCCTTACGCCCGGGGTGGATGCAGAGCGAGCGATGCCGTGGCCCCGGGGCTGTGTGCCTGCGGTGGATGCTGCCTGGGGCTGGCGATGCAGCCCGTGGTTAGGCAGCCTCATCTGTACCCTGCTGCAGTCACGGGGTGTTATCCAAGGCCTGAGGCTGCGGGCAGCGTGGTGGGGACACCCCCTTCTGCTGCCCCCCCTTAAGGACCGACAGAACAGGCTGGGTTTTTTGGCGTAAGCCACAGTGAAGAGTAAAGAGGCTGCTGGAACAGAGGACCCAGCTGCTGCTGCTGGAGGGCGCTTGGGGCAGCAGCTCCTGAGGATCCTGTTTCACTTGTGCTTTCAGACGGGTGATGTCTGCATCTCCATCCTCCACCCGCCCGTGGACGACCCGCAGAGCGGGGAGCTGCCGTCTGAGCGGTGGAACCCCACCCAGAACGTGCGGTAAGGGCCGTGCAGGGGGTGAGGGGTGGGGACTGGCTGTGTGCTCTGCTGTGCTGTGCTGCTGTGCTCTGAGGAACAGCCAGAGCCTGCACAGACCGTGTGTGAGCCCGTCAGCCCGTGCACT